GGGGGGAGGAACAGGAAGGAGAGAAACTCACTTCCCATCTCCTGGCCGCCAGCTCTGCCTGTTATGGGACTGTGTGCTTGGAGGAGGCATTGGGGGACCCTGCTCCTTCCTGTCCTCTCCAATCCAGCCAGGGCTGGGCTTCAGGTGAGCGAGGGAGAGAAGTCAGCACCTCCACTGGGGATGTGGGGGAGGCTGACTTCCTAGAAAATCAAGAGTCTTTTAAAACTTTTTTCTAAATGTGTTCCTGGCTGAGGGTCCTCTTCTGTGGTCTAAGCTGTCTGTGAGCCTCAAAGACCCCCCTTTTTAAGCACAGTTGGTACACAACATTATATCAGTTGCAGGTGTACGATACAGTGATAGGACATTTACATACCTCACAATGGGGTCACTAAGCAAAGTCTAGCAATCCTCTGTCACCATGGCAACTTATCACATTGTGGCTGTATTCCCTGGCTACATTCCCCGTTCCACCAGCCCCAGCCCCTGGCAACCATCCGCTTGAGCTCTGTTTCTCTAAGTCTTTTTTTGTTTAGTTTAGTTTTGTTTTTGAGTTCACATTTGCCACAACATGGCTGGGCCTGGAGGGTATTATGCTTAGAGACTCCGGCTTGGTTTTCACTGCTGGGGGCAGTCTTCCAGTGAAATCCCTTTACGTCGTTCAAAAAGGTATCAACGCAAAAGCTCTCGGATGCCACCACTCTCAGTTCCTACTCTGATAACTGGGGTGGGAGGTTACAACTCACAAGCAAACGCCTTGCTAGCCCTGGTCTGAAGCCCTAGCTCAGAAGCCATCCTGGAAGGAACGGAGGGCAGTGATTGGTTATCAATTGCTGTCCAAGGGGAAATGTGAAGAACAAGAATAGCCCCAAAGCAGAACCCTGCCATCTCTTTTCTAGAGCGACGATTCTTAGAGTCCCGGCCTCCGAGCAGGAAGGCTCCTTTGGGTTGTTTATTTCATGCACATTTTGCTACAACAAATAAAACACTGATAACGTTACAATGTACAGAGTCCCTGCCGGGTGAGGACCACTGTATCAGGCATTGCCTACATATCACCTGTGATCGTCACAACTGCTCCTCAGGAAACATAACTTAAGGGCTCCTTTAGGAGATCACTGAGACCCATGGCGGGTGAGCAACACCTCGTAACCATGGCGGGGCCCAGGATCTGAGCCCAAGCCAGCCCAACTCAGCAATTGGCTCCTACCCTAGACCATCTATGTTCTCCAGGCCTCTCATTCTTAGACTATGTCTGAAAATGTAATAAAATAAACATATTGTTAATTCATGAAGCAACAAAGTGCAGTAGACATGGAAGTCAGTCAGTAAATAAACAGAGCAGATGAGTAGACTGAGTGTGTATCAGCTCCCTCTCTGTCCACAGGAACACATGACCATGATATGACCTCAGGCTCTGCGTTCCAAACTGCCTCGCCCATGCCTTGACCTTGTGGGACCCTGCAGAACTGAGGCTTCAGGTGGTTTCATGTAACCTGGCCGATGTGGCTCAGTTGGTTGAGTGTCATGCTGTGCACCAAAAGGTTGCTGGTTTGACTCCCGGTCAGGGCATGTATGGAAGGCAACAAATGATCGTTTCTCTCTCACATCAATGTTTCTCTCTCTCTCTCTCTCTCTCTCTTTCCCTACTCTCTCCAAGCATGTCCTCAGGTGAGGATTTAAAAAAAAACAATTAAAGAAAAGAAGGTGGTTTCATGTCTCCTGCCAATGTTTTCCCACAACTCAGACTTTGGTTTCCCTTTGTCTCAAGGCCACATAGTGATGCAGCCAAGCCCAGCTCTTCGGGATCCAGTCCAAACCAAAGAATGCGAAGAGCATGCATGGAAAAGCGCTAAAACAGCTTAAAGAACAGGCTGTTTTACATCATAATCCTGTAAGAAGAGCTTGGAGGCACCAAGGACCACAGTTGGCTGGAAAATGCATTTTGGCCTCATAAGAAGGGGAAAATATTGATGAACACAAGAAATTTGGTTTGGTTTTCAGATTTGTTCATTGAGGAACCATGTA